TCCCCTGCTTCCCCTCCACTGTAAGAGACTTTTCTGTTTTGTTTTTTTTTTGTGAGATAATTTACCCCATTCTACCTCTCCCTTTCTTCTTCTCTAAGTATCATCTTCTCTCATCCCTTAATGTTATTCTCCAGATATGACCCCTTAATCTTCAACTCACCCTGTGCCCTCTATCTATCTATCTATCCATCTATCTATATATATATATATACTTATATATAATTTTTTTTCCTTCAACTAACCTAATACTGACATAGGTCTCATGAGTTATAAATATCATCTTTCCATGCAGGAATGTAAACAGTTCAATCTTAATAAGTCTCTTATGATTTCTCTTTCCTGTTTACCTCTTCATGTTCCACTGGAGTCCTGTATTTGAAAGTCAAATTTTCTATTCAGCTCTGGTCTTTTCATCAGGAATGCTTGAAAGTCCTCTATTTCACTGAATGACCATTTTTTCCCCTGAAGGATTATACTCAGTTTTGCTGGGTAGGTGATTCTTGGTTGTAATCCTATCTCCTTTGCCCTCCGGAATATTATATTCCATGCCCTGTGGTCCTTTAACATAGAAGCTGCTAAATCTTGTGTTATCCTGATTGTGTTTCCAGTACTTGAACTGTTTCCTTCTGGCAGCTTGTAATATTTTCTCCTTGACCTGGGAACTCTGGAATTTGGCTACAATATTCCTAGGAGTTTTCCTCTGGAGATCTCTTTCAGGAGGAGATCTGTGGATTCTTTCCAAAAATGAAGCACTCTTAAGGGGCAGCTAGATGGCACAGTGTATAGAGCACGGGTCCTGGAGTGAGGAGGACCTGAGTTCAAATGTGACCTCAGACACATAACACTCACTAGCTGTGTGACTCTGGGCAAGTCACTTAACCCCGATTGCCTCACCAAAAAGAAAAAAAAAAGAAGCCTTACATTCTGGAGAGGGACAATACTAAGCACACAGGTTGGCAGTTAATTGAGCTAATCAAGTAATTACCCTCACCCCATTTAATATAAGTGATGATATATGCCCTGACACCCATGACAAGAGAGAACAATCAATCAGAGGTATAAAGTAGGTATGAAGAAGGCCCAGGTATTGATTGATAAATCATAGGTTTTAGAAGGTGTTTAATCAATTTAGAAGTCACAGATGAAATTAAACTATTCGACATAGGAAGTGCATTTGAATTCATTGAGGAAACTGGTGGTGCTCTGTGAAATTTGTATAAAACAGCAAGTGCATTCACAGAACCCAAAGATTTAAACATCTGCCAGAATAGGGAAGAGTCATTCCAACTAAGCCCCTGAGAAGGAATCATTTTGCGGGGCAAGGAAGGGGAGTAATTCAGGATAATGGCCTTAGCCTCAGCTTTGGCCTCAGTCTTCTCACTACTTGTAAGATTCAGAGGGTCAGAATTTTGGATTTCTTCCTGTCCTCTGAAAAGCTTATAGCCATGTCTGCAATAGAAGCTGAGGGTCAACTGGACTAAATAAAGAAAAGTAGATTCAAGGATCTTCAAGGAGCATAGCAGAAAAGATGCACCATTCCCTAAGGGGAATATCTTAAGGACTCCAGCAAAAGGATCTTCGGGAACCATGAGTTACCCCTATGCCATATGTGCTCTCCAAACTTGAGCTCAATTTCCCTTAGACTGTATGTACTTGTGGAAGAGCATGTCTTTTTTGGAAGGTTGGGGGATGTTGTCTACCAAGTATACTCTTGCAGTAAATACTCATTTGCAAAAGTTCATTAAGTCTAGTTGACTGATATAAACTGATAATAATGGGATGAAGCACGCAAGTGGGGGCTCATGAACAATAGAACTAGAAAAAATACTCTTAAACCCTCAGGAGCTACCCTGAGAACTCTTGGGGTGTGTGTGTGTTTAGGGGGGTGGGTTATGGTAGCAGAGTTCTGGGGACTGCCCTGTCAGTATGAGTGTGAGTTGGGAGAGTAGCTCAAGAAAATGTGCTCCTGGGGCAGCCAGGTTGCACAGTGGATGATAGAGCATTGGCCCTGAAGTCAGGAGGACCTGAGTTCAAATCCAGCCTCAGACCAAATACTTGACACTAGCTGTGTGACCCTGGGCAGGTCACTTAACCCCAGTTACCTGAAAAAAAAATGTGTGCTTTCTCTCTCCATATATATGTGTGTGTGTGTGTGTGTGTGTGTGTGTGTAATATATATTATATGTCTAAATGCATATACACACTATATTTATACATAAAACACAAGATAAATACCAGATAATTTAGAGATATAGGGTGATTCCCCTTAGCAGCAAAGGGGATCAGTAAAAACTTGTAAAAGTTGGCATCTGAGCTGAGTTTTAAAAGAAACTAAGGATTCCAACACAAAAAAGTGAGGAGGAAGTATATTTCCACTGTGGGGGGACAGCCAGGACAGCCACCTGGAGATAGGAGATATATGAGGAACAGAGAAAATAAAAGGATGGTTTGGCTAGGGGTAGGGAACCTTCAGCCTTGAGGTCACATGTGGCCTTCTAGGGCCTCAGGTGTGGCCTTTTGACTGAGCGCAAGTGTTGAGGTTTAGGGATGCTGGGACCCCAAAAACACAACATTCGGGTCCTGCGTGAAAGAATTCGACCCAATCCTTCTTTCAGCCAAAGACAAGGTTTATTAGAACATCCATCATATTGGGCAGACTCTTAAGGAGTCTGAACATTAGTGAGCTATTGGCTAGATTCTAAGAATCTAAGCACCTTGATGGAGGCAAGATGGACCTTATATACAGAAAGACTGTGGGAGGGATCTAGGAGTGGCCTAGTAGTCTATGAGGTAATAGAACTCCAGGGACCTGGACCCCGAGGCCAGGAGAAAATGGAGCCTAGATAGGATTAAGAGTGGGAAAGTGCCAGGGGCCATAGGGAGGTAAGACAAAGGAGGGCCAGGCTAGGTTTAGCTTAATAGATTGTAGCCACAGTGAAAAGCCAGTTGATGGGATTATAGCCTCAGGCTAGAGATCTGGACTTGTGGGAAAGTCCAGAGTTTTTCTTTTTTGGGATCTAGATCCCATCCTCATCACAAGTTTTACAAAACAAATCCTTTTATTAAGGGGATTTGTTCTGTGAAGTTTGAATTCAAAGGGCCACTCTTGAGGACCTAGAGGCTGTAGGTTCCCAACCCCTGGTAGACCATAGTAAGGTGTAATAAAGACAGAAAGGTAGGATGGAGGGCTTTAGTGAATTCACATTAGTGAAGGGCTTTACTTGCCCAGAGTCACAGAGGTAGTAAGTGTTTCAGGCAGGATTTGAACTCAGGAAGATGGATCTTCCTGACTTGAGGTCCAGCGCTGGACCTAGACTCAAATACTACCTCGGTGACTTGGGGCAGGCCACCTAACCTTCCTGGGCTTCAGTTCCCTCATCTCACCTATAAAGGACATTCCCTGTCCCCTGAGGTCCCTTCTAAAGCTATGATCCTAGGAGCTGACTGAGGAAAGTTACAGAGGGAAGAAGAGCACTTAAGTGGTAACTGGATGGATGGATTATAGCAAGAAAAAACTGGAAGCAGGAGACCAATAAGGATAGCCCTAGGGATGAAAGCCTGGCTTTGAGAGGTGATCTTGTGACCTGAAAGAGAAGGGAACGGATTCCAGAGGCAAAGTGCAGGTAGAAACCTTAAGATTTGGTTGTCATATAGACTGGAGGGGTGAATGGATTAAAGGTGGATCTCTTCTATGTCTTGTAGGCATTAAATTACAAGGCAAAGGACAGCTAAGTAGCACAGTAGATAGAGTGTAAGCCCTGCAGTCAGGAAGACCTGAATTCAAATTCAGCCTCAGACACTAACTGTGTGACCCTGGGCAGATCACTTCACCCTGTTTGCCTCAGTTTCCTCATCTGTCAAATGAGCTGGAGAAGGAAATGGCAAATCACACCAGTGTCTTTGCCAAGAAAACTCCAAATGGGGTCAAGGAGAGCCAGAGACCACTGAACAACAATGACCCTAAGGGAAGTCAGTAACCCTGGAGGAATGGGATGGCAATTTGGTGGCTCACTTCTGTAATGTGAAACCTCCACTGTATTTTAAGATATCTTTCCTTATTCAAGATTCCTATAAATGTTAGCTGAAATAATCCTCTTGGGGGCAAAGAGTCATGTTGGAAGTCATGGGGTGGATATGCTAGTTTGGATATTTCTCTCCGAGCTAGAAATGTTTGGGTATGGATTACTGTTGTATTAAATGGAACTGTTGCCTAAATGCAGAGTACAATATTAGCTTTGCTTTCTTTGACAATAGCAGCGAGCGTTATACAGGGCTTAAAAGGTTTGCAAAGCGTGTAATTTCATTTGAGCTTCAAAACAACCTTGTGAGGTAGGTGCTATTATCCCCATTTAACAGATGAGGAAACTGAGGGAGAGAGGTTAAGGGACTTGCCCAGAGTCAAGCGGCTACCAAAGGTCTGTGGGTAAATTCGAACTCAGGTCTTTCCCAATTGCATCCCCTAGTGGCTTTTGAGAATGAACAACACGAGCCGGTCTGGACGGCAGGAAAGGATGCCGGGAGTGAATGAAGGGGCTCGGGGGTGCAGTGGGGAGAAGTAGTGGGGGGAATGTGCTGAAGAGAGAAGGGGTGTCCAGGAAAGGAGAAGGGCGAGGGAAAATGTGTAAGAGTTGTGGGATGCAGAGAAGGAAGAACAGCCTCAGTAACGCAGGGCAATCTGACAGGTTTATTCTGCTCCTGTCCCTGCTCCCCTTCACTACCCAGCCCAGGCACACCTGTTCTTCCTTCCCTGTACCACGCATGGGCTGGGTCAGCTCCCCTGGCAAGGGCCGTCCAATGGTTCAGCCCTGTCTCCCCCTCTCGCTGGTACAGTCTTTCCGACTCCGCCCCAGCGCAGACGCCCGCACCTCCTCCCCCGTTTCCTCCTCCCCCACGCCGCGTCTCTCACCCGCCCCCGGAGGTTTCCGTTCAGGCCCCGCCCCCGAGCTCATCCCGCCCCTTTCCCCGCCCCTGCGCGCTTTACGGCCGTCGTACGGCATTTTTGCCGCAGCCGCAGCCGCAGCCGCAGCCGCTGTTGCCGGTGAGGGGAGCTGAGGTGAGGTTAGGCAAGGGGCGTCGGCAGGCTGGCTGGACCGCGCCGGCGGTGCTAGGGGAGGAGGCGGGACCCGGGCCGCAGGCCGGCTCAGCAGGCGCCGAGGGAGAAGCCGGCGGCCTCAGCACCTTGCCTCCTCCTCCGCTCGGGCCCCGCCGTCGCGGGAAGCCGCCCAGCGCCTACCGAGAGCGAGACCCGGGCCCCGCCACGGCCCGGCCGGCCGGGCCAATGCTCGACCTGGAGGTGGTGCCCGAGCGATCGCTGGGCAACGAGCAATGGGAGCTCACGCTGGGTGAGTGCGGGGGCTTGGGGGGGGAAAGACCCCCATTCCGTGTGTGTGTGTGTGTGTGTGTGTGAGTGGGACCGAGTGCGAGCTGTGGGGGTGGGGGTGTGACCCCGAGCGTGTCCAGCCATGGAGCCAGAAGTGTGTCTCACACCTATACGGGGGAGGGGGGTGACCCCGAGGGTGAAGCCGGGAGTGGGAGCTCGGGACCTGGTGTGAAGCTAGAAGTGGGTCTCCCCCCATACCCGGTGTGCGGATGCGCGGCCCAGGTAGGTATGTGTAAGCACACAGCCCAGGTGTACTTCCCTTCCCCACTGCCGTTGGGCTTGGACAGGTAGTGTCTGGCTCCAGCCTTTCCTTCCCCTCTCAGCGGAGATGATCCGGGGCAGATGGAGAGGAGACGGGAGGCTCCCTTCCTTCCCGCTTCCTCCCCACTTCCCACAGGTGTTTCCCTCTGGCTCCGGCCAGCTATTCTCATCCCTCGGCCCCACGTCCGGCCAGGTGATGGGCCCGCCCTGGTGCTTTGGGGCAGGCCCCTTTGCAGGATCCTAGTTCGGGGGGAAGCTTGAGATCCCGCGCTGAGGGTGCTTGGGTCCTGGCCTGTAATAAGTGCTGAATCAAGTCAATTCCACAAGCGTTTACTAAATGCTTGCTTATCGCTGGGAATTCAAAGACAGGCAAAAAAGCACACTTCCTTTTCCCAAGGAGCTCCTAGTCTAATCAAGTCTAACCTTAATAAAGGTTGGTTGCTCGCCGGTAGGCCTGAGTTTCGCCCCTCCTTGCCTTCTGTTTGTTTGTTTTTCCTGTTGAATGCTGGGGTTAATCCCTCCCCCCTCCTCTTCCAACCAGATCTTCACCTTTCTGTTTACTTGGGCTTGGATTGGTTTGCTCATCACGTTAGTAACATGAGTGCCCTGCATTTTCAGTGTGTGGCCTCTAGGAAAAAAAGGGGAGGGAAAGGTTGTTGATGCTAACAACTTATGGATCCCCTTTATGTTTTTATGTACCTTTCAGAACACTTTGCTTCTTGAAGTTGTCCCTTACTTTCCCATTGGAGTTCAACATATTCTGAGTTGTTTAGAATTGTAATTTAGTTTGCACTCAAATCGAAGCAAATTGTCTTTAAGTAGCAAGGGAGATTTTTCTGCCTCTCACTTCACAGTCTTGATAAGGTTTAGTGAATAAAAGCTCTTTATCTCAAGGACTGTTTGATTTTTGTTCCTGTATCTTCAGTGCCTGGCGCCAGAGGTGCTGCTAAAAATTAATTGAATTCAATTAAGTGAAAAATTATTTTCTAGGTAGTCCTTCTGGGGCTTCAACTGGTTACTATTTCTCTGCCCAGTGACTGACTCCAGTGGAAATACTAACCTCTCTTGAACGGGTAGTATGGAGTGATTTGTTTTTGTGGTTTTAGTCAACTCTCAGATCTTAATCACATTTTTTTGACATCGCTCAGAACTCTCAGTGTGATCCAAGTAGTAAAGAACAGAATTAGTAGTCTAGTGGAATTATTTCCCTATTCCCAAATCTATTCAAGATACTGACTTCAGTCAGGAAAGCCCATCAAGGTTGAGCTTTTTAATTACCTTAGCATGTTTTCCTCGCTACCCTCACTGCAAACATCATCATCTTCAAAGGGTTAGACAGACCTACAATTGCAGTTTAAGAATGTACTTGACTGTTTTGTAGCTAGAATCTGGATATAGTAGGAATATTCAAAATCTCAGAGGGAAGGAAAATGGGAACATGATACTGAAGGAACCAAGTTGACAGTTTAGTTGTGTGCCCTATTGTGACTCTTGTCTTTAAGTACTTTCCTCCTATACCTGTTCCTTTCTAGGAATTAAATGTCTGGTGAATCACTTCACACTGTGGCTTAAGTATCATCTATCTCTCTTTGCTGGCTGCTGGCCCTTCCTGGAATTGGAGTTAGGACTGGTGGGTAAATGTGAAATCTAGCAGGTCCTGCTTTTCCAAATTAACCCATAACGGGATAAAGCAGGTCACTACTGCCTGGGCAAAAACTGACTTTGAGCTCTTCAGATATGAAATTATGAGAGAATGATTTCATCACTGACCATCTGGAAGCTATTTTAGGAAGATGTTTTGATTCCTCAACATTAAAGTGAATTTTGAAGTTTAATTATTTGCAAATTTGATTTTATGTTAATTTTGAAGTATATGTTTTTTGAACTGGGAGGGATCTTTTTGAGATCATTTAGGCCATTCATCCTCACAACTGGTTGAGACTGTGGCCCAGAGATGGAAAGGCATTTGTGTAAGGTAACGCTGGTAGCGTAGCAAGCAATTGAGATTTGAATCTACATCTTCCAACTGAAAATCCAGTGTTCTTTCCACTATGCAAAATTCACATTTATATAATGCTTTATGTAATAAAGAGCTTTATAGATATTTGTTATTCAGTTGTTTTTCAGTCATATCCGACTGTTTGTGACCCCATTTGGGGTTTTCTTGGCAAAGATACTGGAGTGGTTTGCCATTTCCTTCTCCAGCTCATTTTACAGATGAGGAAACTGAGGCAAACAGGGTTAGTGACTTGCCCAAGTTGACACAGCTAGGAGGTGTCTGAGGCCAAATTTGAACTGGAATTGGTCTTCCTAACAACAGGCCCAGTGCTTTATCTATTGCCATATGTATATTTTTTTTATGTAAGATCATAGATTAGAGCTAGATGGGACTTTGAGGTCATCTAGTCCAACTTTCTTTAGTTTACATTTTTCCTCAGGAGTGGGAAACCTGTGGCCCTTTGACTGAATCAGTAGAACCTCAGGACCTGGAGTCAGGAAGACCTAAGTTCAAAGTCAGCCTCTCACACTAACTGTGGGACCTTGGGCAAGTCACCTAATTTTTCACTTCTCAAGGGCCAAACTTGAGGGCCTAGAAGGCGACAGGTTCCCCACACATGCATCATTAATACGAAAAAAAATTGAACTTTATACAAAATCAGAGCTTGTTTTTGTTTTCTTCAGTAAAAGTAAGTTTACAAATTGTTTTGCAGTTGCTGCTCTTCCAACTCATTCTGAGATTCAGCAAAGATTGGAACATAAGCCGAAGGCCGTTGGTTTAAGGAAAAAAATAGTGATTTTCTTCTGGAAAATTAATAAATAATGTAAGATTATTTAGTAGAGATTGGCATTGGAGATTTTTGTTAGAAAACAGGAAATTCTATGACTGAGTAGCATTTACTGTGCATTTGGATATATAGTAATGTGTATATGCTAACTATTCAGATTTTCATTATTTGAAGTTATAATTATGTAAAATTTGATAATTAGTTCCAGCTCAATGAAATATGCAGTTTGGGTGCAAATAATTCGACCACTTCACTGGGGAATTTATTAGTTGCACTAATGGGGACCTGTATTAAGGTATAAGTACCTAATTCTAGAGTAGTCATTTCCAAGGGTAATAGATTTCTGTTGAAAACTTGGCTTCACATTATGGGAAATCTGTTGATAATTCATTCATATCACCATCCCTGAGCATTGTCTTGAGGCCTGGCTTGATTGCCAGTGTTTTTGGTCCCCAGGACCCATCCAGCATCTAGCACAGTCAGTTATTGAGACAATTGAGCTCCTTGGCCACCTTCCTTTAGTTGGGTAACACTTGGAGTTTGGGACAGCATCAGAGATGAAGAAATAGAAAAACACCAGGCAAAAATGGTATAACTAAGGAAAAGGTGAGCATGCAATTTATTTTGTTCATTTAAGTGTTGGAGGAGAACAGACGATGATTGAGTAATATGACATACTCAGGCACCTAGCACTGTGCCTGACACATGGTATGTGCATAATAGATGGAATTTGGAGAATGGATTGTTATAAAGAAGCAGTGAGTTTTTCTTTAAAAAAAAAACAAGCAGGTAACTAAAGTAAACACAATGTCAAAAGAGAATTATGGTCTCCTAAATAAACATGCTCCACAGTGTGGTCAGATAAACCACGTTGGAGATCTATCCTGATACAGTAGAAAAAACATTGGTGTGGTGATCAGAGGTGTGTTCTATCACCAGCTGCATCACTTAAAGGAGTTTTTAGACCATAGACAAATTACTTCCTCTTTCTTATCCTCAGCTCTCTATTAAATAGGGCAATATTACCTGTACTGCTTACCTTGCAGAATTATGAGGAAAGTCACTTATAAACTATATAAATCACATAAACAGAAATGTGAGTTAATGCTGTCCTTTGCAGGAGTTGCCTGATGAGGTGATTCCAGAGCACTAATGTAGATTTAAAAAATGACAATAATAAAACTAACATTTATATAGCACCTACTGTGTGCTAGGCCCTGTGCTGAGTGCTTTATAAATAATATCTCATTTGATCCTCACAACAACCTTTCGAGGTAAGCCCTGTTATCCCCATCTTACAAATGAGGAAACTGAAGCAAAGGTTAAATGGCTTGCTCAGAGTCCCACAGTGTCAGAGGCTGGATTTGAACTTGGGTCTTCCTGATTCCAGGTCCTGAGTTCTATCCACTGCCTCTTATCTGCCTCTTGCCAACTGCTTTAATAATCTAAGGAAGAATTCCTTTGTTTGGACATAAACAGTTAAGAGGTAATATGTCTTTCTGTTTCTGACAAAGATCAGACTTAGTTGCTGATCCATCTTTGAAATATTTGTTCCCTCTTCTCAGCAATGCAGGGATCTAAGTCAGCTCCAAAAGACTCATGATGGAAAGTGCTATCCACATCCAGAAAAAGAACTATGGAGTCTAAATGCAGATCGAAGCATAGTATTTGCTCTTTTTTTGGTTTGTTCTTTCTTGTGGTTTCTCCCATTGGTTCTCATTCTTCTTTGCAATGTGACTAAAGTGAAAATATGTTTAATATGAATGTATGTATATAACCTATATCATACTGCCCTTGGGGAGGGGAGAGAGAGGGAGAAAATTTAGAACTCAAAATCTTAGGGAAGTAAATGTTGAAAACTAAAGATAGATAAATAGATTTAAAAAAAGAAATATTTGTTCCTCTGGGACAAAATGGTTTCATAGTATCAGTGTTTTTTTTGGAACTGAAGTATCAAGCTAGTTTTTTGTAGTCCTTGCTGCTCTCCCCTCCCCAAAAGATACAGAATTGAATGATTCAGCCACTACTAAGTCTTTAAAACCTAAGGACAGAGTCATGCGAAAAAAATTTGGTATAAATATCACTTCATATCCGTGTAGTATCAATAGGGGAAAGATCAGCAAGTTTAATATATCTGTTATTAAATGAAAGACAAACAGTTTTTGGTGGGTTTTTTGTGCTTCTAATGAGTGCTATATTTTAGATCAAGGTAACAAACATGCCATTGGAGTTAATTTTGCAGTTCTGTTTCCTAAGTGGCTGTTTTGTGCAGGCGCGGTGCTTCTTTACTAAGCTTTTATGTGTTGTTTTTAGAGATTGAAGGAATAATGCTTTGGGTCAAAGGCTTCACACTCAATAATATCCTTTGGGCTAATTGGGCAACACATACTTCCAGCCATGGTGGCTGAAGGATTGATTTAAAGAAACTGACTTCTAGTTGTTGGAGAGCATTCTCTTAGAAGAATTACCCTTTTCTGGCTATACACGATATATGGTTAAAACAGCTATATCATATACTTCTCCATTAAGCGTGTATTTCTTTATGTGATTCATCCCAGTAAGGTTGATCTTATTTGTCCCCCTTATGTTTCTAGTTAAAAAAAAAAGTGTGAAATAGCAGTGTAGCTTAATGGGAAAGTATATAGTCATTAAAAGCCAGGAAGGCCTAGGTTCAGGTTCTGGCTTTGTCAGTTATAAGCTATGTGACCCTGGATAGGTTATTTCCCTTCTTGGGGCCTCAGTTTCCTCTTCTGTAAAATGGGGAGGAGGGGAGTTGAACAAGACAGTTTCTAATATTTTAACATGTACTGCACATTTGAGCCAAAGCACAGGTGACACTCCTATTTCAGGAATTGAAGGAACTGAGGCAGCAAGTGGTGAAAAGTCACTTCCCCATGGTTATAAGGCAGAGTGAACCTAGCACCTCCAGATTCATCCTACTCAAATAATTTGTCACTAAACAGTTGTTTTAACTTGGACTGTATGTTTTTGTGAGTTCTTTTAAATGAGAGAAAAGGAAGCTCCTTGTGTTCAAACCATAAAATAAGAAAGGCCAAACTTGACAAATATTGTACTTTAGAGTCACAGTTGTGATTTTTTTTGTTTGTTTTGCATTCACATTTCTCTTATGCCTTAAAAATGATTTTGCCTATAGGTTGTATAATTTTGATTTGAAAAAAAAACTGGCAACTCCTATTATGTCAGAAATTTTTCACTTAGCTGGACCAAGGTGGATGGGGTGAAAAGAATGTACTATGTTCTTGCTTTCTGAGAACTTAGTATATTAAAATATGTTCTGAAAAGTATTATATGCATCCAGTCCTATGCACATCAACATTTCAGTGTACTTGCGTCTTCTTAAACCTTCTGAAAAGTTGTTATGGAAATTTGGATTTTTTAAACAGGGTATATACAGCCAGGTCTTGATTAATATGAATAATGAATACCCTCAAGTAGTTACATATATTCAAAATCACAAAATTTGAAGTTATAATTATATAAAATATAGTCATTGGTTCTAGCCTGATGGAAATATCCTGTACCTATAATATAGCTGTGGTAATATACTTTAAAATAGAAAAGCAACATGAATGTCAAGTGCTAAATAATTAGAGCTTTTTTTTTAGTTGGGTGAATAGCAAATGCTTCAGCAGTCAATTGCTAACTGAAATAATATGTAAAATAGCTTTGTTAGTATGGCTATATTTTTATGGTTGTACACTATAGTTAAAATTATAGAATGCTAGCCCTTGGAGCTCATCTAGTCTGATCCCCTCGTTTTGCAAATGAAGGACACACATATTGTGATCCAGAGAGAGGAAGTGATTTGCCTAGAATGACACAGCTATTTAGTGGTGGTAAGGCTGAGGCTATCACCCAGGCCTCCTGACCCCCAATCTACTGTTCTTTCTGCCATGCATGGTGTTACTACTCTTCTACACATTGCTGCTGTTGTTTTAAGTTTGTCACATCAGTGACTAAACTAACATTCTTTTGTTTCAGGAATGCCATTGGCTCAGGCTGTAGCAATTCTTCAGAAATACTGTCGTGTCATTAAAAATGTCCAGGTTCTCTACAGTGAACAGGTGAGTGATGACTAGTTTGTTTTGTGAGAACGTCTTCACTCAAAAGTGAGTCATGACAGGTTGTGATGCATCATGTGATGCTGCTAAAACACATGGATTGTGGCCTCAGCCACTATGCATACAGTACTCCATATGTTATTACCACACGAAGGGGAGAAACCAGGGTAACCAGTAATTTCATCAGATAATTGCTGTTCTAGGAAAAAGCAACTTCAAAATGCATTTCCTTTATTTAACCTTCAGTTTTTTTGTCCTGATGAGCTATTACTACTAGGTTTGGAATTGTGCTGACTAATGAACTTGTTTTTGTGACTTCTAGATTTATCTGCTGATGTTTCAGCAGCCTTAGCATTTAGAAAGCCAAAATGCTCATGAGTTTGGGGAGGTAGCCAACATGACTGTTTCTTTGATTTTCTAAGGGGTTTTATTTTCACCAGCCTCCTCCAAGTATAAAAGTATAAAACAAGAGCTGGCTGGGTTTGAATTTTTTTTTCTGTCTTTTGTAATACAACTTTTTAGCTATCTGAGCAGTGACCTCACCCTTGCCCTTTAGAAAGGTATGGCTCACCCATTCCACAAAGATGTTGTAACACTTAGAAATGACAAGTTTTCTCTAAGAAAAAAAGAGAGAACAAACCCACAGGAATGTTGCTATCCCATTTTTTCCTTTGGATCACTCTAGCCTTTGATATTTCAGCCACACTAGAAATTAAACCAGGATCTTTCTCTATAGTCATTTTCAATGACAGAGTAAGAAATAGGCTTTCACTACAGTGTAAGAGATTTAGGTTAGAATTAAGGAAAAGTTTCCTCAGTTGCAACTTTGGGTTAGGTTTGTGAATGATATCGAAGAATCTCCTTTGAGGATCATTTTAAAAAGATGAATCTTATGTGCTTGTAATAGTGACTTGTCCTTTAGATTCCTGGAGTACTTTGTACCATACAGTGTTAAATATCACAAACTTCCTTATTAATATTCATTATAATTAAACACTAATTTTTAGCCCCAGATAAATACCTTGAGTCCAGGAACTTGTTCTTAATTATCCTGATATCCCCCTACAAACACCTAGCACAGGGTACGCAAGAACTTTATATTTGAATAAATAAAAAAAAATAGATAACATTCCTAAAGATAGGGAGGTAGACTAAATGGCCTGTCAGGACTCATCCAGCACCAAGATCTGATGTTTTCAATTCCTTGTCTTCCCAAGAGCTTTAGAACCCAAATTAGAAAACACTAATTGGAAGTAGAGACAGGGAAGTTGTGAAAGAACATTCTATGGATACTTCTGTGGGGCTTGTCTAGACTGGTTAGAACTGAGCACTTTCGCCAAGAACATAAATCTTATCCTCGCATTGCCCAAGCTTCCTTCACACACAGAAAATGTTCCCTAGCCACAAGCTATGCTTCTCACCCAAGCCAGCTGTTAAACTATTTATCCAGCATTTATTAGGGAATCGACATTGTGCCCAGTACTGAATTGTTTTTTTTGTGGCCTAACCCCAAAGAGTTAGACGACATGGCACCCGTTTACATTTGGACCAATAGGAAAACAAGCTTAAGTTGGTGTCATGTAGTTATAAAAGAGTCATAGAATCATTTAGAGCAAACTGCACAGAAGAGATGGTTGTATGGTCTGAGATTAGAAAAGTCTGCATAGAAGAAAGTACAAGTGTGCCCTGTATGTTGTCCCAGTCAGCATCCTTTTGCAATATTGTCCTTTAGACGGTACAATCAAGTGAAAAAAGTAAAACCAGAACAGATTATACATCATGACAGTGTAAAAATAAGTGTGTGTGTGTCTGTGTGTATTGACATAAATGGACAAAGAAAGCTGATGGCAACCCATTAAATGACTGACAAGTTGTTTTGGCCATTTTTGCATGTTAACTTACCTAACTGTAAATAGTTGCAAAATAAGTTAATTGATTTTTATTGGAATGTACTACATCGTTTATAATCTTTTGTTGGGATTAGAAGACATTATAACCAGGCTGTCTTGTAACTGGAATATCTTTGGTTTTATCCCATGCCTGCCTTGCCCAGAATGCCCCATTTTTGTTCATTTGTGCTCCCACAGAACTTTCTGCCTTCTGGTATTTTATTTTTCCAGTTAGTATATTCTCATGAAATTAATTCTAGCCTTTTTGCTTACTATTTGTTAGTCCTTAAGTCATTTCACCTCTCTAAAACTCAGTTTCTTCACCTAAAAAATGAGAAAGTTAGTGTAGATGATCTCTAAGCTCCTTTCTAATATTAAACAATCCTTATGATACTTAATAATATTAGGCATAGAGGCAGAAAGGAGCTTAGAAAGTGAAAAGACCAGTCAGAATAACATGGAGGGTTTATGTTGGACAGTAGTAGGAGATGAGGTTGGATGACCAAGATGAGGTTGGATTATGGAGGGGTTTAAATGTTAGGCTGATAACAGGCTTTGGTGGTCAGTAGTAAACCAATGTAGGTTCATGAGCGGTAGGGGCATGAAGGGATATGAGGGAATAGGTAGAGTGAGACTATGGGATTTTTGAAAGGCAAGTCAATTGTGAAAAAACATTTTCTGTATATGATGAAACAGAAAAGAAATTGAAGGGATAGAAACATAATTTAGGAATGTTAATCTAGCAGCGGTCTATGTTCCCTACTGGAAAAAAAAGTGGATAGTGGTTTAGGAATATTGTCAAAGAATTACATTTCATTAGGTCTGAATGTGTCATCCAAGATATGGAAATAATGTTTCATCTCTAAAGGGAGAGGTCACAACTTTGTCCTTGCCACGATCAGATTACCTTCAATCCAGTGTGAGTGTAAATGTCTGGCTTCTAAATGCTCACCAATTTGATCTGCTGATACAGGTAACTAGAAATTAAAATAAAGAAGTTGGGCTGCTTTATTTTTTGGCTCACCACAATGTTGGCATTCAGTTAATTAAAATAAGCTACAGATATCCAGGTTAGATAAATTTTGAAATCTACTTTAAATTTTAATAACGAAGAAGCATTAGCTATCCCTGCTGACCATCTTCATTTCAGGACAGCAAGTTTAGTCATTTGGCTGGAAGCAATTATTGTTAGGTTATCTATGGAAACATAGACTAGATTCTGAAATGAAGAAATCCAAGGGGTCAGTTTGCCTTTGCCTGAGCACCTCCAGTGACAAAATGTTTACTGTCTTAGGAGCAACTATTTTCCTTGTTGGAGAGTTCCAGTTGTTAGAAAATTCTTTCTTAACTGAAATCTGGCTCCTTATAAGCACTCAGACTTATCTCTGGAGATACTTAGACTGCTCCTGTTCCCTTTTAGTGTGACCTCCATTAAGATATTTGAAGACCTTGGTCATGTATTCTGTTGATCTTCTCTTCATTCTAAAATTCCCTGATTTTTAGCTGATCCTTAAAAATCATCTGATCCTTATGCTGTGTAGTTTTGAGCCTCCCTCTCTTTCCTAGACATGGTCTAGCCTGTAAATGTTTTCATACTTCAGCATACTTCAGTGGTCCTGTGATCTTATCAATGTGGGGGATCCTTTTACCTGAGCAGATCTCAGCACATTCTGTCCTGTGGCGTTCAGGTCTTCAGTAGAGGACCTGCCAGTATGCAGGAGATTTTCCTCTTCTTCCTTTAATAGTTCGTATATACCAGGATAGCACTGAGTGTTTCTCTTTACTCCTTATTCTCCCTCACTGTTTTACCAACTTTTCTCGTCATACTTGTCCTCAGTTATTCTTTTCATGCCAGTTATTGGTAATATGTTGCAGCCTGCTTATTCCTACCATGTGTCTTATCACTCTTTGAACCCAGTAACCCATCTCCTTGGTGTCCCTCCTTTTTTTTCTTTTTTTTTCTTTTTTTTTTTTTTGGCAATTGGGGTTAAGTGACTTGCCTAGGGTCACACAGCTGGTAGGTGTCAAGTGTTTTGGTCTGAGGCTGGATTTGAACTCAGGTACTCCTGACTTCAGGGCCAGTGCTCTATCCACTGTACCACCTAGCTGCCCCGGTGTCCCTCTTAAAATGCAGTAAGCAGAATAGAGCCCATTACACCAGATTGGTCTGAATTTTGATGCAGTTCCAGTTTAATTGCATCTATGGTGCTTTCTTGGGCTTCTACTTTACTGGTTCATTGTTCTTAAGAATTTCTTTTCTATTTCATCATGTGCAGAGAATGTTTTGGGGTTTGTTTTTTGTTTTGTTTTTTTCACAATTAACTTGCCTTAAAAAAAAAGTCCCATAATATCTCTCTATCTAGACAGATATTACTGATACCTTTGTGGGATCTAAATGTGAATGTTAGAAAATTAATTATTTTTATCTTCTTAGAGATAAAAATTATGTTAGCAAGCTAAGGTAGTAAGGCATTTGAGCTTTATTCAAAATTGTACCATACTAAGATTCATAACTATACCTTACAGTCTGATTCCAGCCTACCTTCCAGATTGATTCCGTGTGACTCCTCACACATTACATTCCAGGGAAATCAGCCTTCTTGCTATTCCCCAAATTCAGGTCCATCTCCTCTATGCTTTTACATAGGCTTTCTTTTATGCCTAAATATGGGTAGAGCACTGGCAGTCCAGCCTCAGGGACTTATTAGCTGTGTCATGCTGGGAAACTAATTTCCTCTGTCTCCCCAACTGTAAAATGTGAATCATAATAGCACCTACCTTCCGGGATTGTTGTGATGATCAAATGAGGTAATACTTTAAAGTGCCTGGCACATAGTAGGCACTTTGGCAATACTTGTTCCCTTTCTAACCCCTTCAGGGCATGACTCAGGGCCACTTCCTGTTGGAAAGCTTTCTTAATACTCATATTTGTTATATCTCTTTTCTCTCTATAAGTTATCTTCTTGGTATATTACCAAGTAGAATGTAATCCCTTCTAGGTCAGGGACTGTCTCCTTTTGTTTTGGGGTTTGCTTGCTTTAGTGGCCTGTGCTTTGCAGCTGAATAAATGTTGGGTGAAAAAAATGGATAATTGAAGTAGCTGAAGATATTGTC